TCCTCCAGGGTCATCCATTTTGAATATTATTGCATGAGTTCCTTGTTTTTTGATGCAGCATAGTATTTCATTGTGTGAATACACCACAGCTTCTCTATCCATTTGTTTGTTGATGGACACTTAGGTTGTTTCCAACTCCTTGCTATTGTAAACAAAGCCCTGATAAGCATGGGTGTGTATGAGTCTGTGCTTCATCAAGTTCATTGTTTTGGTCTCTGTATCAATCCATCTTGAGGGTGACCTTCTCCTTTTCCAAGGATTATGTCCTTCACCAGGGACTGATTTCTCCTGATAACATCCCACCCAAAGTATGAGACTAAGTCTCACCACTCTTGGTTCGAAGAAACACTCTGATGGAACACTCTGAAGAAACACTTTCCCTGAGACCTATCTGTTCATTTGGCAAGCCACGGTATATTCAGTCTTGTTGGCAAACACGGTAATTCAGAGGCATCATTTCTTCTTTGGTCTTTATCTTTCAACCTTGAAACATGCGTATGAAACTATTGAGAAGGCCATGGCTTGTATCAGGCACACCTTAGTTTTTATAGTGACATCCTTTCTCAACAGCATAATGGAAAGTAATGCACACCCCACACGCACACAGACCTAACTGCTATGTGGCCACCGTTGAGATGTGTTCCACTGTGGGTTTCCGGTTGTCACAGCCCAGAAAGCACATAGGCCAGCATCTCTGTGATTGCCAGGTTTGTTGGACCGGTCTTGTTTGCCAGCTTCAAGGCTTTGTTCTCACCCCTGTTCCCACCCCTGAGTGAGAAGAGAACTGAGGGAAAGGAGGGGGGATGGCAACAAGGCAACTTGCAGTCAGTTAAATTCCCTCCGCACGTTGTTGTGGGTAAGCATTTTGTGCTGTTGTGGTTGAATAATGTACCTATAATTAATAGATCGATAATGGACTTCATTCTTCCTTTCTGCCTTGGCATCTGGTATTGTCTTCATTACCTGACGCTGCTAAGACAAGAGATGTGACAGGTGGGCTGTGTTAGCACACAGACATTGACTCTCTTGTAGGTTAGGGGGCGGGAGGTTCAAATTCAGGGCGGTGGCTTGAGAAGACGCCTAACGGTATACAACAACAACAGAGGGCAGCCCTCTGCGGTCCAGCCCAGGCTCGGGGGCCACCTTGAGCAGCTCTGTCTGAAACAGGATGAGCGTCCTGCCCTTGACCATCGGCGCTGACCGTGGCTGCATTCTGCAGCCTGTGTGTGTCTGGTTGCCTCTCCTGGTTCTGGGAGTTCCCATCACGTCCTCCCTAGTGGTACCTGGTTTCCCTGCTGGCTTCTCTCCTTACATCTCCCCGAGATGACAGGTGTGGCAGCCACACCTTACATCTCCCCGAGATGACAGGTGTGGCAGCCACACCTTACATCTCCCTGAGATGACAGGTGTGGCAGCCACACCCCAGGGATGTTCCCCTGCCATGCTTCACCCGTGTGGTGACGGTGCCTCCCACCCTCAATCCCTTTCGCTTTCTGGTGTATCAGATCACAGGTGATGATAATATCGCTCCCACATGACCTTATTGTTTTGGGGATGGAAGACAAAATGTGTTACATACGAGTATTTGGGGAAATGGTTAAATCCATGGAATACTTCGCATAAAATGTGCTTATTTTTTTTTTCTGAAAACATATTCATGTCCAGAATCTTGGGGGAACGTTCCTTGGGTGTAAGCTGGGAGCCCCAGAAGCTGCACTCTCTAGTTGTTCGAGCATTGAGTCCAGGCTTCCTCAGAAACCATGGCTGAGGTCCAGGCTGCCACTGGACCCACTGCCTCCCTCCCCGAGAAAACCCGAGACACACGCGTGTTCCTCCTCAAACTGTCCTCCGGGTGTCCTGGTTCTTCATCTTTATTCCTCTTGCCATTCTTCTTACAGTTTTTATTCCTCTTCCCATTATTTTTTTAAAGTTGTTTGTTTCTTTTATTTGCTTTCACTGTGAGGATAATTTTACACTTACAGAAAAGTTGCCAAGATATAACTCCCTCTAATTCTCACCCTGTTCTCCCCAAATCATGTGTTCTATGATATATTTATCAAAATTAAGAAACAGATTTGGGGACGTTATGGTAAGGATTCTATGAATTGACATTGGCTTTGATGGCATACTCCTCTTCCAGTTTTTAAATAATGTTTATTTCTCTTTCCATTTTTTAATAATTTTTATTTCTCTTTCCATTTTTAAATTTTTTTAAATTTTATTTTATTTTATCATATTTTGTGCATTGTACCGTCAAATCAGATCCGACTGGTACAGGAGGAGATTGTCCCTCCTTCTCCAGCAGAGCATCTGGTGGATTCGAACCAGGCACATCTGAGATTGCAGTGCAGCTTCTTGCCACTAGGCCACCAGAGCTCCCTTTAATTTTTTAAAAAATTTTATTATTTTTGTGTGCGTGTACCGTCAAATCAGATCTGACTGGTACAGGAGGAGATTGTCCCTCCTTCCCCGGCAGAGCATCTGTCCTCTTTCCATTTTTTTTAAGTGTTTCTTTTCCCCATGTAAATGCTGATGACCAGGCAGATTCATTCAGGGAATATTGTTACGCGTCGTCAAGTCAGAACCAGCTGGCAGCTGACCCTCCAGTGGGTTTTCAGAGGCTTTCAATCATGCAGAGAGACTGCCCAGCTTTCTTTTGCAGGGAAGCTGGTGGATTTGAACTATGAGCCTTTGGGTTGACAGCACAGCTTCTTCCCACTAGGCCACCAGCACTAGTTTAATCAATGAAGATTCCTGATGAGGAGCTATGGCGGCCTAGTGTCAAGAAGCTATGCTGCAATCCCAAAGGCCTGAGGTTCAAGGCCACCAGCTGGTGTATGGAAGAAGGAAACGCAGTCTCCTCCCATGCGATTTTCTGCCTCTGAAAATTTGCTGGAGGGTCAGCTATGGGTCAGTACTGACTTGACGATACACAACAACAACAACAGGTGTTCTAAGCATGCTCCCATTTAAAAAAAAAGGTTCCTACTGATTTATCAGTATTGAAATACTTTGTATAAAATGTGTTTATTTTTTCTGGAAATATATTCATGTATTGTGCAAAGCTTACTGAGTCCTATTTGACTCAACAAATATTGCTAAATGAGACTGTTGTTGTTTTTAAGTGCCGTCGAGTCACAGGCGACTCATAGTGACCCTATGAAGGAGAGTCCTCAACACTTGTGTGTCTTTCATCCTTTCTCCGGGTTCATAGGGTTTCCGGAGGCAAGCTTTTTCAGAAGTGGATGCCACTCCTGCTTCCAAGCTTGTTTTAATCGGGGAGCTCCACCAAACACTGTCCACCAAGGGTAACCATTATTGCATTTGGCACATCAGTGTCACAGTGTTCAGCAGCACAGCAACCACGAGTTACCTCTGTGCAGCAAGTGGACACACCAAGGCTACACGACCTAGAGGAATGTTTGACCAAAAACAATGAAAGACAGGCCCTAGGGGGCTGCGATTACTAGTGCTGTTATATCTGGAGGAATAGTCTTCCACTTTGCACATCACTCTTTGTCAATGTGCTGTATGAAGTAATCTGGGTTTGCTGTGATGCTGAACCTTGTGCCATTAGGGTATCAAATACCAGAATGGTTTCGCATTGTGGACAGTGTTTGGTGGAGCTGCTGGGTGTAAAACAGGTTTGGAAGCAGGAGTGGCATCTACTTCCTAAACCACATGCCTCTGGAAACTCTATGAACTTGGAGAAACAACGATAGCTATGGAAAGGCTGTTAGGTCTTTTGTTCATAGAGTCTCTATGAGTTGACCTTGACTCAGCGGCAGTCAACAATAGCAGCCCGTGTATTGCTGTGTTTGTCTCTGGTCTCCCGGCTCCATTCTTGACGACTCCATCGTGCACTCACACCCTCTGTCGGTTCTGATGGGTTTAATAAACACTTGTTTCCCGTTTTTCATTACTATTGCCTTTTTAAAAAATTATTTTTTTTAATAATTTGAATGAATATTTACAGAGATTTTGGATTTCCATTCATTCATTGCTGCACTTGCCTTTGTAAAAAAATTTTTAAAACATTATTTTATTATTTTGTGTGTGTGTACCGTCAAATCAGATCTGACTGGTACAGGAGGAGACTGTCCCTCCTTCTCCAGCAGAGCATCTGGTGGATTTGAACCACACACCTCTGGGATTGCAGGGCAGCTTCTTGCCACTAGGCCACCAGAGCTCCCCTTAGTAGTGCCTTTTAATATCCTTATCTTCAATTAATCTGATCTTTGAGAGTTGGCATGAGAATGTTATCATCAAATCATGCTGCAACATTTGGGGCACATTCCTGACAATAAGACGTCTCAAACCCCAAATAGTCGGTGGTGATCAGTGTAGTCTGTTGTGACCTGTATACATCGTAAGTTGGGGACCACCTGTGTAAGAACCGGGTGAGATGCCTGTAGCAGCTGGGAGGCTGGGAATGCAGTTTGGAAGGAAACACCTCATCTTACACAGTCTAGTCGTCTTAAAAAATCTGCCTTTCCCCTCTCTGTCTGCATTACAATTAAATGGGAACGTTAGAAAGCTGGTTCGAGAAGCATGGAGTTGTGAGATCTTTTCTCTCCGCAGGAATAGCCCCCGAGATGGGGAAGGGCTGCAAGGTCGTCGTTTGTGGACTGTTGTCCGTGGGCAAAACTGCCATCCTGGAGCAGCTGCTTTACGGGAACCACACTATCGGTAAGACCCATTCCTCTCGTCTCTCTGCAGGTCCTGGGAGCTCCTGGGAGTCTCTTGTTGGTCCTGAAAAACCCCACACTGGGTGGTGGTTCGCAGGATCAAGGCATAATACGGAGGGATCAGGAGGCTGTACAAACCAGCAGAGATTGAGAAAGAAAAACTAGGGCAAGAGAGAACATTGTTACTGAAATTCAGTAGTTTACTGTAAGGTACACTTTATGTTGTTGTTGTTGTTGTTGCTGTTGTTAGGTGCTGTTGAGTTGACTAGGACTCCTAGCAACACCATGAACAAAAGATCTGAGCCCTGTCCTGTCCTGCGCCATCCTCACACTTCCTGACACACAAGAGCCCACGGCAGCAGTCACTGTGTCAGTTCCCCTGGGTGAGGGTCTTCCTCTCCTTCACCGACCCTCCATCCTTCCCAGCATCATGTCCTCCAACAACATGCCCAAAGTATGTGAGGTGAAGCCTCATCATTCTTGCCTCCAAAGAGCACTCCGGCTGCACCCTCTCCAAGACGTATCTGCTTGTTCTCGTGGCCGCCCATGGAATGTTCAGTGCTCTTCTCCGACAGCACAGCTCAAAGAAGCAGTTTATAGGAAAGGCGGTGTCCGTGTGTGTGTCTATGAATTCTTGTTGCTTTCGGGTTTGAACTGACATCCCTCTCACACTCCAGCAGGGTTTCCCAGGCGGTGAATCACACGGGAGATTGCCTGTCTCTCCCCCTTGGAGCCGCTGGTGACTTTGAACTTCAGAGAGGTGCCTCCTGTGGGATTTCAGCGCAGCTCCCCACAGGCCAGGCCACGAGGGCTTGCTCACCTCTCCCACTCCCCAGATGTGGTTGGTGGCCTTGGCGTACCTGTATGAAAGTATCGAGCTGCTGTTGTTGTTATGTGCCGTCGAGCAGATAATATAATGAACTGTAATCTTGAAGTCGTAGACTCACCGAACAAAGAGGACACAAAATGATTCCTTATTTCAGACACAACATGACTTTCCAATATAGCTGGGAAGGTTTCAGAAAGCTACCTGGATACAGTGTGGTCTCATTTTGTGAATTGCATGGTTTCATTCAGTGAGTCAGATACCAGGCAATGGACAGACCCAGTTAGGGACTTTTAACAGGGGGCTTGAGCCTGTCTGAGATGGTGCGGACGGCGGAGGATGGGACAGCGCTCCGATCTCTTGTTCACGGGATCGCTGGGAGTCACGTTTGACTCAGAGGCCCCAACAAGCAGCTTGCTGTGACTAGGCCATGTGGAGGTGCAGAGGTGAAGCGCAGTAGAGGTTCCTGTTAGAGAAATACGTACAGTGCTAGGTCTGGAATGCATGCCTTCCTGACAGTGTAAAGGACACTTCTGTTTGACTTTATCCATTTCGATGAACCTGTTTTTGGAGAACAAAATGGGATCATGTGGAGGTTGAAACGACTTTGCAAATCAGTCTAATTTTAAGTCTCCAGCTTATGTATTTTTTGATTCCTGAACCAGTTATAGTTTTCATATCTTTTTTATGCTTTAATTATTTTTTATTTCCTTTATCATAGATTTTCCTTTTTTAAAAAAATTAATTTTAGTGAAAGTTTACAGAGACTTTGGATTTCCATTCATTCATTGTTACACTTTTCTCCCTGTCCACCCCTCCCCCCCATTTCGCTCTTCTCTTTGCAAAGTAAGAGTTTTCATATCTTTTTAAAAATTGAGTGGGCGGGGAGAGAAGTGTAGCAGGGAATGAATGGAAATCCAAAATCCCTGTAAATGCTCATTAAAATTACTAAAAAAAAAAATTGAGTTGATACACACCCATGTTTATTGCAGCTTTGTTCACAATAGCAAGGAGTTGGAAACAACCTAAGTGCCCATCAACAAA